AGAGAGAGAGAGAGTTTTGGTTGTCTTTCAGATAAGCAACAGCAATCGGACACAGTAATTCGGATCGGATTTCACAGTAATTCCGAATTTCTGAAGGGAAGACCAAAATTTGGAACAATTTTTGAGAACAGTTGGAAAATGTCCTTAAGGCTTTACATAACGTACCCCCAAAAATTATAACATCGGTTTCAAATTCAAGGGGCTGTGACATTATCCAGATCGACTGGGGACTATCAATTTTGATGAAAATTCTTCTTACGGTTTAGCCACTACTATTGTTCACAGACCAATGGATAGATGTTTTGCCATCAACCAATGTTTCGGTATAAAGTACCCACAGAACATGGAATTTGTTTCATATAGGAATATGAGTTATTCTTTTCAGGAATAGGGACCTACAATTCAAAGTGACTTTCTTCAACTTTCTCCTTTTGATATTAAAATGTGGGTGAAGGTTCTTTCAATAGCAACTAAAACTTACTGTAGAAATTGTTACACTTTTGATTCGGTTAGTTCTGTGGACAGATATTTGTTGCACTATTCTCTCGGCAATAGTAGAGGGTGAGGAAATATGCGTGCGTGTGTGTGTTTGTATACACACGTGTGTGCATGCACACACACACCTTGTGAACATTTTGGAACAATATGTATTATTTCTCTTGTATTCGATAACATAAATGTATCATTTATAAAACAATGTAAGCTTTGTATATCATTATATATCATTGTTTTTACGACCTTGTGGGTATTGGAAACTAACTTAATATACTTGTTATTTTCAAATAATAATACGTTTTTCAGTTACTTATAAAATTATCTGCCCAAGGTATGTTTTTCTCAATTAATTTAATTTCTATTTCAAATAGATAACGTTCTTTGGTGAAGAGGCTGAGGATGCAGGTGGTGTTCGAAAAGAGTTTTTTATGTTATTATTGCGCGAGATTCTTGACCCAAAATATGGAATGTTTCGGTATTATGAGGAAACCAGATCTATTTGGTTTAGTGAAGATTCATTTGAAGATGAAATTATGTATTATCTCATTGGTAAGTAATAAGTCGTAATCCAATTTGTCTTGATTTTTGTTGTTTCTTGTCTGTAGGGGAGTAAAGATTATTTTGTGATACTGTATTTACCCAAATTTATTAATAAATAAATTTAAGGCAACTGAATAAAAGAAAACCTCCTAATTTTGAAGGTTTCCTGAGATTTAAAAAAAAATTAATTCTTATTAGGGTCAGAATAAAAACAATTTGTTTAATAAGCTAGAAAATTGTTTTGTTGATGAGAATGTTCAATTTTTTGTCATCATTTTTTGCATTGTATAAATGCTCATAATCAGTTGTAAACTGCGACCCTCTTTGTAATCTACAGAAATTCTTAAGGTTTTACTTTCCTTGGATGGTGCAGGAGCAAACCAAGTTACCATTATTTGAAAATTTTTGGTAAGATGATTTCTTTTTAAAATCACTCCATCTCTGTGGTTAAGTGTAGAATGAGTACAACTATCAATATGAATTTTTTTCTTTTCGATCTTTTGCAAAACAGATTCTCTTGCTAGGCTTGATCTGCAAATATAAGTAGACTCTCTATTTTTTTAATGAGATAGTTTTTGAAAATAATCAGTCACATATTTGAGTAAATTCAGTACTCTTTTGAGGTGTTTAACATCCACATTCTCGAGACTAACCTTTTTCAGTTAGTGTTGGGCACCTGTTAGGTACTCAAAGAAAGTAAAACCTTAAGAATTTCTGTAGATTACAAAGAGGGTAGCGAATTAAGATATGCATATCTGCTCCATAGAAACAATTGTTTTTGTTCATTATTGTAATTGAAGTGTAAAAAAGCAAGTTTTTCAATGAATTTAAATTTATTAACCCGGAGTGCTTTGCACATTTGAGGAACACGTTTTTTTAGCTTATATAAGTTTAAATTTATTTTTTTTACTGACATTACACTTGTGAATATTGACTTTAATTATACTTGAGATTTTTATGAATGATAAAGGTGTTTCGAGAGTTTTTCAGGCATTTATGTCAGATTTTGACTATTACAATCAACTAAATAAGAAGGGAAAATACCAAAATTACTTTTTCCCTTGTTTTTTTAAGAAATCTCATGTTCTGACACAGATCATAAAAAGCTCTAATTACAAATTGTAGCCCTGTAAGTTCTCTACAGTTTCTTAAAATAACAACCTTTTCTCTTAATATTTACACTCAACAGCTCAATTTAAGTAAAACAGTAATTTATTAGTTTCTTATTTATTTTCTTAAAATTGGTTTTGTTATATTAATTTTCCCAGTTTTCTGACTTACGTTTGTTAGGAAAGGTAAATAATGAAAAACAAAATTGTAAGAATATTAATGTAATTCACGCACGTTGAGAAAATTTAGATGCGAACTCTGAATAAAAGACAAGCCTTCTTATTTACAAACTCTGCTTAAAAACACTTTCTCTTGAAAAATAAATATTTCATAAATTTGAAATACTTAATACTTTTTGTGGTGTGTAATGTATGAAGCGGAAGAAAGGACCTGAGAATTAGTAACATTAGACAATACTTTGCTATGTAGTAGGGCTGCTGCCATAAATGAGTGTGATTTTCTTTTAAATATTTGCCTTCTTTAGCTTTTAAGAATTAAAAATATTCTTAAAGGTAAACAAAATTCCCATTAAAAGAAAGTGATAGTAAATTTCAAATCAATTACAATGTCGGGTAATGTGTCTAAATTGACATTGACTAATAGGGAATGGAAAATTGTAGCTATGAAGTTGCATTTTGCTGCAGGTCTTCTGTGTGGTTTAGCAATTTATAATTTCACTATAATTGACCTACCATTTCCTCTTGCACTCTACAAAAAACTTCTGAAACAGAAAGTTACTCTTCAAGATTTGAGTGGTTTGTCTCCAGCTCTTGCACGGTATGTATAGTACAGTGATCTTGAATAATGTTATTTATGAGGTCATTTAAGAATTGTGAGATAATCACTACTTCCAGGAGTTTGCAAGAACTATTAGATTATGAAGGAACAGATGAAGAAAGTGTGTTTTGCCTTACTTTTGAAATATCTCGAGAAGTGTTTGGTGAAGTTAAAATCCATGAACTAAAGCCTAATGGAGGAAGAATACCAGTTTCTCATGAAAACAAGTAAGTATTGGCCTTATATCTTCATAAAGATCTAGTATCCTTAACTGTGTTATCTGAATATAAATTCTTAATTTATTACAATTTATAGGGAGTTTTTGCATAGCAAAGTATTACAACAATCAACATCACTATTGTTGTTCTGCGCATGTACAGTTAGAGTTGCACATTACTTTTGTGCATTCTATGCATGCCCAGAAGATTGAGATTGCAGTGGATTGCTGTATGTTATGCCATGCAAAAACTCACTAATTATTTTACTTTAAATAATTGTCAGTCATAAAATTAATTCAGCATATTTTAATTGACTTTCCTGAAACTGTTATACGCATTAACCAATACATAATGATTTTTTCTCTAAATTGGTGTTTTTTTGCTATCAAATGTCAATTGTTTGATCCCATGCAATGTTTGTTTCCTACTCTGTTAGTTGCTGTCATCCAAGCTTTCTTTTGTGATCAGAACTATCTGAATTTGAAATCTGACTTCTCCATTGAAGCTTAAAACAAATGATTGGTTTGTGTCAAACTCTAAAGTAAGACCACAGCATCACCGACAAGGGGGTAGTGGATGCCATTATTTTGACACAATTGGACACTTTTATGGGGGGGGGGGAATTTCATTTAAACACTCATTATGAAAGAATGCTTACCGGCAGCAAGGCAAATTATAATAATTGGAAATTCAGTTTCATAATTAGTAGCATTATTTGTGAAAATTGAAGTTAAATTATTTTAGAAGATAAATTTTCCAGGCTGGTAGGCCGTGGTCCAGTTGCATTGAAGCCAACTGGACCACGGCTTACCAGCCTGGAAAATTTATCTTCTATTGACTCCGGCCATGAAAGCCTACGATGCTATTTAAATTAATTTGTTTGGAAAACCTGAATTTGCAGAAGAGAGGGTAAGTTTTAATTTGAAATGTTAGTTTTCCCCATTGTACCCACAAAGTGAGATGGGTCGTTTTAATTTCAGTGTAATTAAATCCATCCTTGGAAATAATCTGTGCACTTATCAGATTTTCATTCAAAACAGCAAGGCAGTTGATCATTCTGGGACTACCGGTATATTACAAATTGAACAAAACTTTGCAAAAAACTAAAAATTTGTTAAAATTCAAATTATGTGCAAAAAAAAAATGGAAAATTGTAAAACATAATTTAAGTACAGGATATGGACTTATAATGTGAACTACATTTATAAATAACTTATAATGATGTCTTGTATAACTTTCAGACAAGAGTTTGTGGACTTGTATGTAGATTTTATTCTGAATTCTGGAGTTGAAAAGCATTTTATGGCATTCAACAATGGTTTTCATAAGGTGTGTGGTGGTAAAGTTCTTGAACTCTTCCATGCCCATGAATTAATGGCTGTTGTTGTAGGTAAGTGTGAATATATTCTTTGAAGTATTTTAATTTCATTAGTATTATCTATTACTTTATTTTTCTTATGTTTTATTGTGTGAAAATCCACAAATAGGCAATGAAAATTATGATTGGGAAGAATTGGAGCGAAATGCAGAATACAAAAACGGTTACACTGAAAATGACAAAGTCATAAGGAATTTCTGGGAAGTTTTCCACGAACTTCCGTTGGAACAAAAGAAAAAATTCCTTCAGTTTCTTACTGGAAGTGACCGCATACCAATACAAGGAATGAAGTCAATCAAGGTACATTTTTGATTTGAAGTAATCTTTAGTCTTTCCACTTTTTCTGCTCTTATGTGAACTTTAAATGTATACGTTCATGAGTGAGAGTATACACCAATGTACACCTTGATTAATTGTGTTACCAGAGATTCTTTCAACTTCCAAAAAAATTTTACATTATTAAGTAGGTGAGATGTTGCTAAAATCGTTTTCCTCAAAAGTAATGTATAATCTATGCTACCAATTTGTTCATTTGTTAATTTCATGTGGAGAACAATTATTACAATTTAAAAAAATGTGTTATTGCAATGGGTGGTCAAACAATGTGAGAGATATTTTTAGATCATTTTAAAGTTAGTTCATAAGTGCCCTGATCAATTGTAAAAGGGTTTAATAGTGGATTTTACTAATTTTTTTAAAATGTGTTTGGATGGAATAAATAAAAAATGATGGTGTATCACTGTAAAAAATTGTTTATGTTGGAGGAAATGAAACTTTAAAATTTTGTAAATCCTCGTCAAGGAAGGAAATTTTCCTGAGGGGTGTTGATGTATTGTTCCTGACGCATGGTTCCTTGCACAAAGTAGAACCTTCCTGTGGCTTCTTGGGTTAATAACTAACCAAATTATAATGTTAAAAGGATGTTTTACTTGATCTACTGTATAGCCATTCTCATTCCGCTTGAGTTGAATTGTCAGTGATTTGTCTGCAGAGATCTGGATTGACGACCCATCTAAGGAGCGAACCTGCAAAATAATATTTTTTTGTTTTGGTTGACAAGAATGGTTTTTGTTTTTTAAAAACATTACAAATCCATTTTTCTTTGGTCCAGTTCTGGTACATTTTTTGGCAAAATTTATCCTTCTTTTTATCACTGTGATATGTTACTAAAACGGGAATTTGTGATGATGTGTGAGTTAAGGCCTTCCCTCAGATTATAAATGCCTTTCTGAAAGAATCCTGTTTACAACTTTTTGTGGTTTTCGAGGGTTCTCTAATGCAATGCAATGCAATGCAATGCAATGCACTGAATTTCACATTCCCTTCTTGAAGTGACTTTTTCTGCCACATTTTCCTGCTCTCTCTCTCTTTTTTTTTTAAAAAAAAATCCTGCCTGGAAATTTTTAATAATATTTTAAACTATTGACTGCGAAAGCCCTTCCTAATTTGTGATTTCTCATTGTGCTTCTTGCAATTAGTACATGTTCTATTAATGACATTAAATTGACTGCGGATCTTCTAAACATGGTATATAAATAATTTAAATAACATATTGGTCTAGTGTTGTCAATATCATAATAGTTACTAAATACATAAACTTTATGATAATAATAATAATAATAATAATATTTTGTTAAAACACTCTGTCAATTGAACAGTAAAATTACAAAAATTATGAACATTTGATCATGAGTATAATAGTTTGACCACTCACTGTAAATTCACTGTAAGTTCAGAATTGTCTCGGGTATTATAATAAAATTGTTCTATAAAATGTTATTCTTATGACTGTTCTTTTGTAGATATTCTTTCAACCGACACCAGATGAAAAATACCTGCCTGTTGCTCACACATGTTTCAATCTGCTTGACCTTCCTCGATATAGAACAAAGGAAAGGCTTAAATATAAACTGCTCCAAGCTATACAGCAAACAGAAATATTTGCATTAGTCTGAAACAGCTTTGTTATGTCACAATAATAAATCACTGCATCTGTTTGAAGTAAGGGGCTTTACAATTTCACTGTGCATTCTCTGGTAAAGGAATCAACAAGCTCAATCAGTTGAATTTTGCTATTTTAGAATTTTCCACTGGTGATTATGACCTGGTTTTTGAATTTTGGGAGACTTCCTTTTTATCAGTTTTGAAAAGGAAGTTATTTTGCACCACATCGTTCTTTCAAAATAGGTTAGGTGTATAAGGCTTCAAATAAATGTATCATATTCTGCGAAATATGAAATAATTGATATGTATCCAATATACACCATGCATCACAACTGCTCAATTGCAGTAATTTGTAAATTGCCAAATCTTTCTGCAAGTATGATATATTTCTGTAAAATTAATTCATTCTTATTTGTTCAGTTGATATGTTTCTGTCCTCTTTTTCATGTGCCAGATTGAACAGATTATTCTGTAAACACCATTTTAGTAAATCAAGTATTTGGGTTTTTGGATTTCATGTGCTTAAATATAAAAAAATCAATGTTATCCTAGTTGTGTAAAAAAAGTGGCCTTTCCTGATAGATAAATTCTAATTTAATTATTTTTCAAATATAGGTCCAAATCTCAGATATATATTACATTTAAATTAATAATGCAAAATTGATTAATGTGATGTTGGATAACATAACTTGAGTTGGAGTTGTTTTTTCATTTTTTTGATATATGTATTGGACTTGAAAAATGACACTTGTATTTTGTTATACTGTTAACTACCTCCATGTTTTTTATTATATTGAATGAAAAGAACAGTGCAGCTTGCCTTAATTGCTCACAAAAGAACCTGTACCTCGAAGCATTTGGGTATGAATTGTTTCTCCCTTGCATTTATGTAATGTGTTATGGCATGTTTCTGACAGATATTATTTTGATAATAGTGACATTGTAATAATTTCATTCTGTGATGTGTAATTGTGAATGTTTGCAAAGGGTACATCCCACTAATAGGAGAGCTACAATTTTAATTTTTATGACATTTACTTTTTATAAGAGTTCCATCAATACTTTCACTTTCGTCAGAGGCTTCCTCTGAAATTTGTTTTTATTGTTATTATCATCATCATCATCATCATTTTTCTTTTTTTTAATCTACTGTGAATATTATTTGTATTTTTGATATATTGTGTGGATAAACTACTGTCTTTTTCTATTTAGCTTTGGTTTTTAAATCACATTTTCATTGAAATGATGACAATGCAGAGTAGTCTACAGTTACATTACATTATGTAAAATGTAATTTTATAAATTTTGCTTTTGACAAGTACTATTTCATTTCTCAGAATTCATGTTCTGAGAATTCAATGTGGCTTTGTAGGCATATTTATAATTTTGACTAATTTTCAAATATTAGGAAAATATTACATCAGAAGAAAAGTATGTATGAATGATTAATTCCAATTGAACAAATTTGGTAAAAGCAATATCTGCTATTGAACTTTTGTGTAATTGAAGACTGACGATATAAAATCATAACAATAGAATATAATAAATAATTTTGTTATGGGTGAAGAAAAGAAAAGCGGTAATTTATTTTCTTGTTCTATATTTGAATTGTTTTCTTAAATACAGTGGTTTCCTTTGTTAATATGCCAACATGCATGATAAACATTTTTATTAGGTACAATATTTTAGTTCAACTGCCCTAATAATCTATAATATGGGCGTTAGATGCAATTATGCTGTTAAAGAATTGTATTGAAAAGAGGTTTCTTACTTATTTTTTACCTCAATATTATGTATTCATCTTGGGTATTAAGATTGTACCTGTGTGCCTGTCACACGAAAGAAACTTGTAGTACATAACATTTCTTTATGAAATGGATGGTTTGAAATGTATTTATAACATTCAACATTAAGAAAAAATGAATTTTGCAGAAAAGTTCTATGATTTCTGTGCAAAAGAATGTCTACAGAATTCATTGTAATTAATAACCTATGCAAATCATTTCTCTCTATAATAATTTTTCCAGATAATGAGGTTCTTTATACGAAATACATTTTTGTTTTCATAAATTACTTTTTATCATTGTGCATCAGATATATGAAGGTCTATGATATGAAATCAACTGAGAATTGTGTAATTTTCTTGAAGTTAGGGCATTATCAGTTTTATTTATTCATTGTACCAAGAATTTTTCACTTTGTAAGTTGAATGCAGTTTTTGAAAAAGATAATGTTGAATTAAAGAGAGAACTACTCAAATCAGTGTTGGATCTGATCTTTTCAGCTAATTAATCAGATTGCTTGAATGTTCCATACTTTTTCTTCCTGATAATCTCTTCAAACATCGTATGCTTCTTATGGGCTGGTGACAATACACTGTGAAATGTGATAGCTTTTGTGAATAGCTATATTTATTCAAACTGCCATCTCTCCTTACATCTGTGTAAATATATTGTTCAAATGAAATAAATTATTTGATTGTACATATGTCAATACGATTTTCTTTAATGCTTTGTAACTGTACAGTGTAATGAAATTAAGAATTTTACAATGGTGTTTTATATCGGTAACATTCAAGCATTTCATATTTCATTGTTGACTCACATTTTGTAAAAATTGAATTATGGCGATTGTAGCTCACTGTAAAGGATGTAATGTTATGAAAAAAATTAAATTAGTTTAAGTAAATCTATATTTTTCTAAAATTGTTTAGAATGATTTGTTTTAAAAATATATTTAATGTGTAATTAAAAATGAAAGAAGGGTATCCAGTCACTCTTGACGAATTTCATTATTTAGTGAAGTAGTACCATAATTGCAATAAAAGGAAATAGTAAAATATAGAATAATACTTTTATTAGCCTTTTAATACATTTTCCCTTATATATGTAATTACTTTGCAATATATCTGTCATTACATTGTTTTTGTACAGTTGGTTTTCAATTTTTTTTAAATTCATTTGTTCTCCTTTATAATTAAAACTGGTCTGTTTTTTCCTTGTCAGTGGAAAAGCAAAAAAATGTTAATTTGGGTTATGCTGCAACATACTAGGAAAACTCCTTGTTTCCACTTTCCAAGGTGTGAGGAAAAATTGTGAGAAATTACTTTTGCTTATGTAATGAAATAATCATTAATTATCTACATTTATTAATAGTATTAGTCTATAACGAAAACTCATTGGGTTTCATTCTTAGGCTTTGCACGTGAAAATACGGTAAAATCTGTATAAGCCGGAAACCTGCCTTAATCAGAAAATTTCACCGGCCCGTGAAGTTAAATGGCATTTTACACAGCATAAAACGGAATCTCTCCAACGCGGAAATGGAAGGGATTTTCATGTCCTGTAGGAAAAATATCTTAATAAAGCGGGATTCCTGTGGATTTATTGCAGTTGGCAGAGAGACGCGAGATGTTTTCAACGAAATGAATGCATGTGTAAGTTTGTTTTAAATTCTCTATCCCTGTGACAAGTTATTTAGTCTTGCTAGCCGGACATTGAAAGAGGATGGCTTCAGATGTCAGCGTAGAATTAGATCTTGAAGTCGCTTATGTCTCTCAAGGCATAGGCCTTAGGGGAATTCCCCCTCTCGCGACTCAGAGCGTGGGAAGGCGCCAGGTCATGGCTTCAATTCACGCGCCTCCCTGCCCGGAGTTGAAAATCATAACCCCTCAACCATATACGCATTGCTCAGTCATGCGAGGATATCGGAATACTGGTTTGTGACGCATTGTGCACTGAGAGTCAGCAAGCAGTCCGAATACAGCCAGTAAGGTGTGTATTTTTCTACTAAGAAGCTGTTAATGAAGGATGGTTAATATTGTCAAGATATTGTGACAAAAAATACCCCAGATTCTATATTAGATTTCATGAAGAAAGGCATGTCTAATTTTCCCGAAAAAAGAAATTGGTTCAAACCGGCATCGCAGGCACTACAGCATTTACTACGGCGGCACTGGCGTAGCTTCAGTTGGTGTCCTCCGGGTGAAAAGTAATGGTATCACTTCTCCCACATAAATTAAACATAAAAATGTTTCTGAATAGTTTATGCACTATTTAATGAAAACACTAATATATTTACACATGACATCTATTTATAATATATTAAAAAGTTGTATGTGAATCAGAATAATTGAAACATAATTTTTTATGTAATTCCAACTATACAATTTTATAATTGGTGTCGCCAATAAGATGGCGTCACCCCGGGGGTGGGGAGACCTCTTCCCCCTTTCCCACTTCTACGTCACCGTGCGGCGGCCCAAGTCGTTACTTTGTTTCTCCGTTATCGGTGAAACAGTCGAGTATTACTCGCGCAACTTTTCTTAAACGATGGATTGAAGAAATGCTGGTAGAGTGGGGGTTTTAGTTACGAAATTGGCCTCTAGATTTTACAAAGCAATGCCAATCTCTGGAGAATCAGTCATGACTTCGCAACGTTCTCAATAATTTGCTTTCTAACTTTCTCAGGTGTTCGAGGTATTTCCTGTAATAGATCTTTACCTGCTTTGGTAATTTCTTTAGATTTTTGGAAAAATAACGGATATAAGTTCTCGCCTTCAAAAGAAAATTATGTCTATTTCGCGCCAGTGAAGAAGTGTTTGAAATGTCATTACTGCTCGCTGCGAGCTTTTGCCTTCATCTGTGCATTGTGCCAAAGAGGGGGAAGCAAGGTCATCATTAAAGAAAAGTTGCTAGAGTAATAATTGTGAGCAAAGCATCGCTTCCACACATTAGAGTACTTTATTAATAGCAGTCTATTAAATATCGGCCTCTTTACTGAAAATGTATTTTTGTTGAAAATTATAACCACAGCTTACGGTGGTGTAACAGCAAACGTTTAATACGATCCAAGACTTACGAAAATTGACAAAACTTCTGGAATGCATGAATTATTATTCTGAGTATATCTTCGGTGCGCAATAGTGTTGTGCTATAGATTGCCACCTAAGTGATAAGTCTCCCAAAGTTTCATGACCTCGTGCAACTGATCCCTACAGATAAAATGCTGTAGTTAAAATTTTGTTTATGAAAATGTTGAGTTTGTTCATCACATCTGGGCGCGGAGTTTTAACTGTTACTTCCGCCAGACATTTTGTCGAGTTGCAAAGAAGAGTGAGGAATCTTTGCGGGAGGCACGTGCACTGTCAAATAATCATTGGGGGAACGGATTGGGACAACAATCATACTGGAGTTAACCAAGCAAAATGGCATTAAGCAACAACATAGTAGTACTAGTGTAATATAAGTGCGAAAAAGTGTTTTTTAAAAAAGAAAAAAAACTTATTTTGCTCTGGTGTACACACTACTTTCATAATAAAAAAAACAACACACTATTTCGCGAGCTTGCTTTCGACCATGTTCCCTGGGGTTAGTAATCTGTGTCACTGTGCATTTGTTGGTTACTGAGCCGCATCATGACCGTGATTTGTATTGATTCGCAAACATTTTTGAACCTGCCACCGTCACCACGGGACTCGCCTACCAGCCGCGGGTCAGTTCGCCACGCGCCAACTGATAGCGCGGTGAGGGGAGAGCGGTGAGTTACGTGTCCATGGCTTGTCCAGCACCTGCTCGGAGCCATCCCTGGCGACCGCGCAACCACCAGTCACCGCCGCCAGCAGTAGGCCAGCAGCGTGTACTAAAAGGTAAGTGCCATCTAGGTAAATTAGAAGATGTGTTAGGAGATTGATTGCAGTAAGTGATTAGCCGCCAAAAGCGACGGGTAAAATGCATGTTCAACTTAGGAAAAGGGTACTCAAGGCCGTTTATTACGACTTTGATGATTCACGGAACTTCGTGTAGTGTGTTTTGCAAAAACAGACATTGCGGAATGCATTCCTTGCGGAAGAAGAAAGCGCGGGCTATCAGCCCAAACGAGTACTTAAATTTGGTGGTTTGAAGGGCGTTAATCGAATGTCTACTGTTTCCAGATTTTATTTGGGAAAGAGACAGCCTTCAGAAGGGGACGAATCCTACCACCTCTAAACTTATTCGAGTACAATTATGTATCAGGGTATCTGAAGCAGGCTAAAATCAGCTTGGGCTGCAGAAAATGACTGTCGAAAGCACAAGGAAATTGTTCATAATGACGATATACTAAAAATAATTCGAGCATTCCAGGAGTTTTATTTCCAAACGTCTTGGGACACGTTCAGTGTTTATTTATACGACCCTTTATATTATTTCGAACAAAACTGCATTTTAAGAACGCACATTTAATATATAAATTGATTGGATCACTTAAAATACTTGATACTATGAAAGTACTCTAGCGTGTGACAAGCAATACTTTCCTCGCAGACAATTCACCGATACCTCTGAGAAACGAGGCAAAGCCCTGCGCCGCAGTCTGTTTGAAAATCTGGAAGTGGCTTTACCTCAATTTTCTCAAAGTGAATTTTTTGTTCGAAAAAGTTGGATATACCAAACTTTGTGCAACATTAAATCTGTTTTTTCCTCTCTCGATATCTCACGAACACTGTACGACTAGCTGCTTCTGCTGTTGTGAAGATTTTGGCTGAAGACAATTGCTGTGTTATCAGTCAAGTAAAAAATTCGTTGGTTAAGTTTCTTGTAAATTAGATGGTTCTACCATGAAGTTAGTCAACAATATAGAATATTTTGTGCCTAATTTCTGTTTCTCTTGTTCTTCTCTTTTTTGTCCACACTTTTGTCCTACAGGGACATATTGGTGTGTGCAGGTGAACAAATCATATTTTACGAGGTTTGCAGAATTGTCTTGTATATTTAAATTTGGTGTTAATTTTTATATTAAATTATGAATGTAGAAAGGACGACTCGGGAAGTATTAAGTTTCTTGTGCACATTATGCCATTCAGAGCGGCTAGTGAAGAGTTTTATATTTCACAAACTCAACCGCCCAAATGGGAATTATGTTTCTGGAATTTTAAAGTATTAGAAATAACACAATATATAATGTATTTAATTTTTTTATTTAATCTAGCAAACATACATAAATATAGTTAAAATATATACCATCACATTCATTGTTCAAGACATTAAGCTGATAGGATGTAGGAAAATTATAATTGTGTCAAAGCATCTAACTACGCATTTTCGTTTAAGAATACATCATAACAAGCATAATAGTCGAGTATCGTAAATTTCTCGTAAAAAAGTCGAAGCGTTAGTGGCAGTTACAATTATCTTGGGTAGTATCCATATTCTTGAACACGTATGTGGCGTAATTTATTATTGGTATTGAACTGTCTCAGAAGGAACGTCTTATGGCTTCTTCCACAACATCACTACTTGACTAGGTATTTAAAAAATATATATTTTTTAAAAAAATACCGAGGAACGGCTTTTGTGTGTCAGTACAATAAAAACATTTAACAGCATAACTTGTCAGTTCTTGCAGTGCTGAATTCTGTTTCATTTTTACAACACGAATTTTAAAAAATGCCTCAATATCTCACTTGTCCTTTACTAGACCTCGGTAGTAAAGACTCGTAGTGGATGTGCCTGAGCTTTTGGTGCGATACCTGCGGTTCATTGTGCATTAAAGAGAGTAAAAAAATTCAACCCTTTAATAAGTAGCAAAAAGGTGCAGAGAATTACTGAATTCAGACGTAACACTTGATAAAAAGCGAAATGAAATTTTGTGCAAAATAAATAACCGAAGAGATCGCACCGCGGAATCTGCGAACTCGTGGGCCTAGCGTACCTTGGGTGCGCTTTCGGTCAGGTCCGAACGCCTTTCCATGTCAGCGAGGGACACCGGACCCCAACTCGGAAGTCGCGCAACACGCAGGCTTGTTGACAGTGACGCCACTCGGCGCGAGACAAGAGACATCGGCATGTCGAAGACGCGCGCTGCTGCTGCTGCTACAGCGGAGGGGCGGTACTGCCAACCTTCCTACGGCGCTGCCAACCTCGGCGCGCGCCTCCGAGGGCGCTTGCACGAGTTCGCAGAGTCCGTGGCTCGCGCGCCGTCCCGCAGTCGGTGACGACGGCGGCGGTGGCGGCGCGCTCAGAAGTTTGACGTCCCCTCCTCGACGTAGTGCTGTGTGCCTGGGGGTGCCTTGTACGACGGGTAGTTGGGGGTGAGCGCGTTCTGCGCGAAGAACTTGGAGTAGTCGCGGTTGACCTTGCGCGGGCGCACGGCGGGCCCGCGGGCCAGCGCGATGCGCTGCTGGTTTTCCACGGCGGCGCGCTCCTTGTACTCGCTGGGCGGCCACTTCTCGTCACCGCGCATCTTGGGGGCTGCGGCGCGGACGGCGGCGGGTTGGGACTCGAACACCTGCGGAGCAGTGGACATTGCCTTTTGCTTTCTTTTGTTTCATTACAGAATACAACTCATTATCATAAGCGTGTGCTGTGCACGGGCCCCCCTATGACCCTTGAACTTTTTGAAAAGGGCCCCGTGGCCTAACACAATAAAACGTGTATATTCCGTAAATATGTTCAATACCTGATTTTCCCTTTTTTAACTTACAACTTACAATTTAGGGAATTGTTATACATTTGGGGAAGGGGTTCTCTAATAACCCTGTAAATGGTTCTACACAAAGTAAAATGTATTTATTGATTGCATCATTAAAGTTATAGTTTTTTTTCCTTGTACTATCTTTCATTTATTTTGTAGTAAAAGATGTAATATGTAGCAAAAAAAGTTTAAATGAAAAAAGGGACACGTAAATGAAGTTGCTCCACTCTTAGGTCACGCACGCTCATCTACTTCCCTAACCGCAGGTCCCTTGAAATTAACCAGGAGGACCCAGCAGTTGGGTTCGGTACAAGTTTTTACGAAGTAAATTTTATTTAGAAAACGAAACGTCGAAAAATTAAGAATTACAGTTAAGAAACTATTATGCTGTAAAAGCAGATTCTGTTTAATATTTCACTCAAGTGAGTCAAGTGGATACAATTCTTCAGTTTGACTTTATTGAGTTAATGTGAATCATTTATATTATACACACACACACACACACACACAATGTGTATCTTTGTGCCTAGGCAATGATATGTCATTTAAGAGAATATTAAAAGAAAGATATACAGATATACAGTACAAAGAAGTTATGAATGCAAAATTATCGCGTATATTTTAGCAAAATATTAACTGTTTCTCGCCGGAACCAAACAAATTTAGTCAGTGAAAATTTCTTTTCTCTGCCTCCGAAAGAAATTGTCACATTTTTGTCTTGAATGTAAATACATAGATGGTTATTTAAACTTTACGTATGTATTTTTTTTGTTACTAACTTAGTTTAAATTTACATACTATATATTGGGGATATATACTGGGAGATGTCCCAGTACGGATCATCAATACAGGTTTTATGTTTGCGAAATTGATTTTAAATACATGGAATGGATATTTATTTTGATTTCTAGTTTTATGAAATGGATTTTTTGTGACACGGTATGTGATGTGATCTAATGATGAATACCTTATGAAGCTGATTACTGGAAATGAACCATGGGGCGTTAGTTTTGAGGAATTGGCTTTGAATTATTTTAAGTTTGCGAATATTTGTATTGGCGACATTAATCTATATGGGACATGCGTACGTAATGGTGAGTCTTCTTGTGATTTTGTATATTGCTATGGGAGTATTATTGTCAGATGTCGCCAAATATTTGGAAGCTCGGCGTCAGTTGGAGACAGACTGTAATCTTTTCATTCAGACCTCGGTTCGTTCAGAAAGAATCATACCGAAAAGTCGTCCCCAGTTTCGCCGTTAAACAGGCTTATGCGCTCCACGATGTTCAATACAGGACGACTTCGGATGTATTCGGCGACTTATGACAAGCGGAGGAGGTGTGAAGATACTTACCGGAAAAGGTGCCTGACTGATGGGCGCCTCGGCTCGCAAGACGACGGTCGAGGGCGGCGGCTCGAAGGCGGGCGGCGCCTGGTACGACGGGTACTGGTACGGCTGCAGAGGCGGCGGGTACTGCGGCTGGCCGGGCTGCCCCGGTATGGTGCCCTGGAACTGCGGGGCGGGCGCCGGTGGAGTGGGTGCGGGCTGCGAGGGCGGCGGGGCCTGCGCCGCCGGACGGGCGGGGGCAGCAACGGGCGAGTAAACGGGGGCCGGTGCGGGTGCGGCAACGCGCGAGTACACCGGAGCGGAGACGGGTGCGGCGACGGGCGAGTACACCGGGGCGGGAGCGGGTGCGGGTGCCGGCACGGGCGAGTACACCGGCCTGGGAGCGGGAGCTGCCGCAGGCGAGTAAAGCGGGCCCGGCCCCGGTGCGGGTGCGGGTGCAGCGACGGGCGAGTACACTCGAGCGAGCGCGGGTGCGTGTTCGGGGGCGCGCGCGGGTGACGGGGGCTGCCAAGCCGTCGGCGCTTGGGGAGTCGCGGGGGCCGCGTAGTTATCCGCGGGTTCCGATCCCTGGAACACACGAAGCGCGGCCGGCGCTCGCATCGGACCGAGCGAGTGCGGACGGGGGCTCTCCGTGGATTACGTAGCAAGTTGCAGGGGCGCTCTTCAAAAGACACGACGTTGCATTCATCAATTACAAATAACATTTCTGAGGTAGGTCGTCACGTTATTTTGTGAGGGTACGTTTAAAAAGAAATAGTTAATTTTTTTCTTTAAATTATTACTTTTATTTGAATCGAATTGCTACAAGATTTCGTATTGCAAAGGCGTTGAGAAACTTTTTTCAAACCGTTTACACAATTCAAATCGCAGTACATTGCAACAACGGGTCCTCCTCGCCCACAAGTGATTGAGCAAGAAATTATTTTAATATATAACAATTCTGGATGTTACTTTTCCTCTTAGAACTCACCGAAGAAACTATGGTTACACATTGCCATGTGATTTCTGTTTTCGTAAATCCTAAACACAACGAACTGTTGTTTTTGGGCGTTAAACTATTCTAACAGACGTGTCTTTTATAACCGTTCCTCCTGTATCCTGTACGTAATTCACGGATAACCCCCCCATCGGGCTTCGCTAACTAGACACGTCTTTTTCCCTTCCACCTTCTTCCGAAGTCAGCAAGTGTGATTGATACTCGGCCAAACAGTCGTGCCCTTTGCGACGACAGTGACGAATGGGGAAGGGAACGGGGCCGCGAGGAGAGCTCTCGCAGAAGACGACCGTGACGCGGCGGAAGGGGCGAACGGCAAAATGACGTTTCTTGTTGGCGCCGCCTCCAACCACAACAAATGTTAGAAGCATGCTTAAGACTGTTACTTCACTGCACGGATGGGAGATGATGCAGCAAAAATGATGAAATGGAAATTAACCATTTAATCATTGCTAAATTGAGTATATAGTTGCGATCAAGGCGGCCCTTCCGTAATTAATTACTTTATTGTTTGGCTGATTTTTTTTCTTGTACTAGTAGCTATAATGACTTTTTATATTTGTATTTGAAATATTCAAAACGAAGTCAGCTCCTACTATAATTTCTGATCACGGATCAATGTTGATATCGAAAGTTCTTGCTAGGAATCGACCCGAATATTCATATATTCGTCAAGGATTCGTGCTGAATAAGGTACTGCGCCCGTATAATGAATATATTTCGTACAACAAGAATCTTTCTTTTAGTCCAAGTTAGGAATATATAAATATATTACTCGTTTGTATGGTTGATAAATATACATAAAAATATTTTAAATGCACAAAAATTCAATGTTTTAGTACTTTAAAATAATCCCTGGTTATCCTTGCATTATAAATGGATTATAGCCTTCGCCACAGACTTCTTCAAATAAATCTATTACACTACCATCAAATAGTATGCGATTTATATTCTTATTGTAATAACTTGTTTAAATACTGTAAATCTAAGACTTTTGTATTTTTTAGATTTAAATACTTTAAATCTAAGACTTTTGTAATTTTTAAGTTATTAATATTTTCAGTTGTTTGAATATTGCAAATTCAATTTCCAATATTCAAAACGCGCCATAACAAGAATTATCTTACGATTACAATACATTTTTAATTATTGATACAATCTTACTTTTATTGCATAAGTTCTTCAATCCCTCCGCTTCCACTTAATACAAAGAGTAATACGAGTATGTTTTTCTGATGTCTTTCGAGGAAATTCTACTACCATATTATATGCCAAATGCTTTAGTGACAAGTTCTGAGTGCAGAAAGAACTAGGGTCGAAGGGAGACAAGTCAGAAGTCTGTAGAAGGTTCCTTGAGACTCATAAATGCGGTACATGACAGTTTGCTGTTACAGTTGCGTGAAGACTGTTGATTGAAATAGAAAGAATTTTCCTGGGTCTGAACATATTTAATAAAAACTGATGTGAATTATGTATATTGTAATCTGTGGTGAATGCTGTTGTTTTAATTATATGTTTTTCTCATAAATACTTGCATTATCTTATTATTACTTTACATTTTTCCTATTCCAAATTGCGTTCGGATTACTAATTTACGATTTTTACAGTTCAGGAAATATTTTGCATTGACACAATTTAGTCAACTCTAGAAATTCTATTACTCATTTCCGAATTAAGATAATGCTTGCTGTAGAGTGAAGCGACTATCAGATGTTTCGAAGTAAATAACTTTTAATTTGCAGACATTTTATGGTATGTCTATTATTGATGTATCATTGAAGTATACGGCTTCACTTATATATAATTCTTACTAATTGTCTTAGTAAGGAATGTGTCTGAATAATGAATAATAATGAATCAATTGAATATCACTGTCCTTAATTTTGGTATCTACAATTTTCCCAGTAAACATTACAAATAAGATGAATGAATCCCATTTCAAACTATTTTTTTAATAAAATATTTTAACTCCGGTTCTGAGAAAAAAATGACTTTATTAGACGATATTTCCATCAAGTTTAAAATATCAAAACAAAAACCTAAAACCAACCCATTGGCCTCGGACCTCGAGTGACTCAATCTTAAGCACAGTGCATTCTAAACCACCCTGCATCCGTTATGAATTTCTCAAAACTAAATTTATCCGTGACTCGTGCGCGAGTCGCGAGACGGCCGGGCCCGTCCCTTTCAAGCGAGAGCCGTGCGATTTGGCACGGCGCGCCGGAGGCTTCCGGTGCAGCGCGCGTTCTCCGGAGCAGGCTGGAGGGGCCGGCCGGGCGGCCGGCCTCCCTCGTCCTCACGCGGCGTGCGTGGGCGCTTGCGTGGTCGGGGCGGGGGTGGCGCGGGTTGCGACGCTTACCTTGGCGAAGGCGGGCTGCGACTCGGTGAACGCTCCTTCGGCGTCAGGGGGCGGCGGCCACGCCACGCGCTTCAAACCTGCGGCCAAAGGACGCGCGGCGCGTTAGCAGGCTGACGGCTGACGGGTTGGGGCTTACGGCTAGAGGAGGGAGCGGAGCGGTCTAGCAACAGGGGTTCTGGGACAACTAGAGATAAATTACAGCTAGGTCTTATTGTTAAAAGTAATCTATGTTTCAGACATTTGTTAAACAGAAGTGTTTTCAATGTGCTCATTCGTATTTGTGCTCTTACACAAAAGTAAACACTTTACTCAAAACAAGAGATAACATAATACATATATTGCATGGGTTATTTATGCAGGTTTGAATTACCATCATTCATTTTATCATTTAGTTACGTTTCACAAGGTGGTGAATGGACACTGAGTTGCGTGGTGTATCACAATCTTGCCTTCGGTACTACTAGTACTGATAATCATTTAAACCATTGGGACCCATGAGAAGGTCTCCTGGATTTAATGAGTTGCTAACGGAGATATGTTGCACGTTCCCCTACTTCCATATGAAGAGAAATATTCACTTCTTATTAAAATGGTTTACACTTGCTGTATTGTATAATGTTGTATAACAATATTTAATGCAATTAATTCAGATGATAGTCATTTTATTGGATACAATCTTTCTTCGATTAAACATTTTGCCTTCCTCTTTCCTTCAATATAATACTTGGCTATTTCAAAGAGCTTCTTAAGCGAATGCCTCTGGTAACACATTAGAACGCACGATTGTATAAATGACATTATTAGTTTCAAATTCTGAGTCAAAACAGTTAAAATTCAAAAGATTGTTTACCGTCATGTAATCTAGAACGAACAATAGGCCCTGCGTAAAAAACGCGGGAAGTAAAAATGCATAGTACTGCTAAAACCCTGATTCTAAAAATTGTGCTAATAATTTAATTGAAACACATACAAATGTAAAAACACAATAAAATTAAATGCGTAAAACTAATGTACGATTGAAATTTTATCTATGTTTCCTGAAATGTGCTACTACAAGAAACAAGGGTGAGATATTACATTTTACCATTTTTTCGTAGCCTTTGAGACTTTGAAGCGTACCTGTCTAACACATCGCTTACAACAAACTATGACGAATGGTCCCGATGATTTACATCAAGACGATGATTTGCTTTATTTATTATGAGTGTTTTGTGTTAAATAATTCTCAACATGATGCTCTGCGCTTTTCATTGTACTGATATGACTACATTGCGACTATTTGCTGTGTCAAAAATCTTAGTTGTGTAGAGGAACACTGCAATTCTGGTCGAACTGCCAACTCCCTGAAGTGTCGCCCGGCAAATTATATTCAGTCCATTTTTAAAACAAGCTAAATGCTATTTCAGGAAATAAATATATTTTCACTAAAACATTAAACTGATTGAAAACATATGTTTTATTTTTAACTTAAAAAGAACATTGCAATAATACATTATTTACAGTTGTACATGCTGTTTGAAAATGACATTAACAATACTGCAAGCACTGTTCTGCAATCAATTCACTTGACTGCATGTCTATAAATGTAGCCTGACTCTACAAAACTCAATCGAATCACTTAATGGAATGCCTGAAAGCCTTCCGCCAATTCAAGCGTAATGGCTGTAAATTTCCAGGGGAAGCTCACCATTTCTACATGTCGCTTCACCGCGAGGAAGGATATTAACGTAACAAGTCTGCTTCTAGGGAATCGCCAGTACACGTTCCCTTTTCCAAGCCATGCAATGGAGGAATAGAATGCTGTAATCCTCCACGGCCACACACTGAGCGCCACGCTCAGACCTATGAGCGCCGAGAATGAATTTTTATATTTTGACTACGTGTTTTACGAAGGTAGAATGTGGAGTCACAGGGAGATTAGGAAGAATTTTAAAGAACATTAGCTTGGTTTAAGATAAAAATAATGAGACAAATTTGTAGTTCTGTATGTATTTCTTTATTAGAAAAATGGCTCGTAAACCATTCTTCTTTGACAATTTTTCTTAAAAATGTATTTTGTATAATTTGTAATATATTTATATGACAAGATGAAGATTACACCATAAAGGATAAACATGAGTAAGAGATGGTCTAATAAGTGGTTTTTTAAATAAGTAAGCCACATTTTATTTGGGGTGTCGAATTTTTAATCACAATATACAGCACTTTTTGTAC